ATCTTCCTCTTCAGCTGGTGGTCATGGTCTCCATCGCCAGCTTCCCGCGTGCCCGGACCAGGTAAACAACGGGAGTTGTCAGCCGGTGCGCAGCTCGGACCGACCCGGAGGGGCTGTTATTGAAAACCTGAGGCCATTGGCGCGCAAACTTCACCGCTGCTAGCTCCACTTCGGACAGTATCCGGATGCGTTTGGTCAACGCAAGATCTGTTATCAACAAAACTTTTATCCTCAGGGATTACTTTCAAGAGTACAAGTTGGACTTTTTCTGCATCACAGAGACTTGGATGTCTCTGGGTGAGTCCAGCGCCTTGAGGGAATTACTGCCACCGAACTGTCTGTATTTTAACGCACCGCGGCCATCAGGCCGGTGCGATGGTGGATTATTAACAATATTCAAATCAACTTTTGACTGTAAACAACTGCCCATCCCAGTTTCCCGCGCCAGCTTTGAGCTGAGCGTCTTTGAACTCGTCCATTCGCCTTCGACTTTATGTACAGTCGTCTATCGCCCACCTCGATATCAGGATTTCATAAATGAGTTTTCTAATTTCTTGGCTGAAATCACTCCAAAATATGATCATGTTTTCATTATTGGGGACATTAATTTGCACGTGTGCTGTCAGGAGAATCCCTTGGTTAAGGACTTTTTAGATTTATTGGACTCTTTTAATCTAACTCAGCATGTAAACGGTCCCACCTAAGAGCGCGGACATACACTGGACCTTGTTTTAACTTGTGATGTGACTATTAGTAATCTTGAAATTGGTGATGATGTTTTTTCAGACCACATGCCAGTCCAGTTTGAGTTCACCCTCCCCCATCTAACTCCTAAGCCGTGTGTTCCTGCACATAGTAGCTGGGCCATTAACCACTTCACTGCCGCACGTTTCACAGATGTTTATAACTCTGAAATGATAAGTCAGCCCCCAGTGTTTCTCACCACCACTGAGGAGCTGACATCCCAGTTCATCTCTGTCTGCTTAAAGACTATGGATCATGTTGTGCCTGTTAAAACCAAAAAATCAAAACTCAGAGCAGAACCTTGGCTGAGTGACGTCACCAAGGCCATTAGGCAGCAATGTAGGAGGGCGGAGCGAAAGTGGAGGAAAGACAGGCTGCAGGTCTCTTTTCAAATACTTAAAGAGAGTTGGCGGCGTTATCAGAAAGCAGTAAAAGCTGCTAAATCCAAATACTTCTCTGATATAATTACCTCAAACTCTTGCAACCCACGTGTCCTCTTCTCTACCCTGAACTCTGTTCTCCACCTCACTGAACCATCACCTCTGGAAGCCTCGACTGAGCTGTGCAACAACTTCTTACATTTCTTTTTGGAAAAAAATGCGACCACTTTGCTCTCATTTCCCCTCCAACTCATGACCCATCCATCCCACCTCAATCTGTAGCTCTATTTGACCATTTTGAACCCATCACTCTATCTTCTCTAGAGCAGGTCATGTGCACCTTGAAACCTTCTGGTTCCCCTTTTGATGTGTTCCCCCCTCGACTACAAAAGGAGGTTTTTCCTACTCTAGGTCCGTCCATTCTTGATATAGTAAACAGTAGTTTATCCACTGGTGTGGTGCCAAAAACCTTTAAACATGCTGCTGTCCAGCCTCTCCTGAAAAAAACAAACCTTGACCCCTCAGTCGTATCCAACTTCTGGCCTGTCTCCAAACTCCCATTTGTTTCTAAACTACTGGAGAAAATAGTCGAGTCCCAGTTGAAGTGCTTCCTGGAGGGTCACGCCATCTTAGAGCTTTTCCAATCTGGCTTTAAACCTCGCCACAGCACTGAAACTGCCCTGCTGAAGGTCTTTAACGACATCTTCAGATTCACAGATACCGGTGATTCTGTGCTGCTTCTCCTGTTGGACCTCACAGCCACCTTTGACACCATCGACCATGGGATCCTCATTGCTAGGTTGGAGCAGTGGGTGGGCATCACAGGATCAGCCCTCAATTGGTTCAGATCTTACCTTGCTGACAGATCGTTTTGTGTCTCCATCAAGGATTTTAGTTCCGCAGAGGCAGAGCTTAAATGGGGGGTTCCTCAGTGGTCCATCCTGGGTCCCCTCCTATTCTCTTTATACCTGCTGCCGCTTGGTGCTATTTTCCGGAAACACAACATGCCCTTCCACTTCTATGCCGATGACTGTCAAATTTACTTCCCCCTAAGACACAATGGTACATGCTCTATTCAACCGCTGCTCAACTGCCTGGCTGACATCAGGGACTGGATGGCTTTAAACTTCTTGAGTTTCAATGAAAAGAAGTCTGAAGTCATGTTGATCCCTCCCAACGACACGAACCACTGCATCGACCTTTCCGCTCTAACCCTGTCAGAAAAACAAAGAGTCACTAATCTGGGCGAGTTAATGGACCCTTCCCTGAAGCTTAACAATCATGTAAACATGATTGTTAAATCATGTTTCTTCCAACTGAGGCGGCTGTCTAAACTGAAGCCCATATTATCCAAAAATAGCCTGGAGACAGTAATACATGCATTCATTACATCTACAGGTCCTTCTCAAAAAATTAGCATATTGTGATAAAGGTCATTATTTTCCATAATGTAATGATAAAAATGAAACTTTCATATATTTCAGATTCTTTGCACACCAACTGAAATATTTCAGGTCTTTAATTGTTTTAATACTGATGATTATGGCATACAGCTCATGAAAACCCAAAATGCCTGTC